TGAATTACGTTGATCGATATTACATTTTTTTTTTGCTTGACGATATTTTTGATGTATTTCCTTATAAGAGTTATGTATGTTAGTCTGTGGTATTATTATGAAGATCAGAAACACTTTTTCACAGAATTTCAAATGTTTTCAACCTGTATATGAGTCGTTTGCATGTAGCAAAAGAGTAAATAAAGGCTAATTATCAGCCGTTAATAGGCAAGTAATGAAGAAATTCAACGTCGCACGCTATGTCTGAAGGCACTTTTTTTACAACATTCATGTACCTTAGATTTTCCTTGACAGTATTGATCCTTACAATTTATTTATTTATTTGTCGTCAATCAGTGTAGACCGTTTTACAATTGTTGTCTTAAGGGCTATTTTTACAATTTTGTCTTTGTTTATATTTTTTATAATATGTCTTAAGAAAAAGTTAAAACATTACATGATGACTGAATTAATCTAAATGGCATTAAAGAGTTCTCTTTGACTGTCAAGTAAGATACGTATTGATTATGTCGACTTTGACCAAAATCAATTAATAATTGTTGCTAGAACAACTTCTTAATTAATTTCTCTTCCCTCATAAGAGTAAAAGAGAAAGAAACGAGCAGGACAGTCTGAGGCAGCCACGTAATCATAGTAGGCATTGATTTTCGTCCTGTTTCGAATGTTTTTGTTTTTATTTGAGGTATCGTGCAAATCTGGAAAAATTAAAAAAAAAACTTTATGAAGAAAATAGAGAGTTCGCTTGTTGTGCTTCGAAAAAGCGACTCTGTAAAAAAAATCAAGCCACTTTAGCCGACGATGGTTGAAAGATTTTTACTCCATGGAGTTCAGTAAAGGAGATTGTAGGCAGGGTGCCTTGCATTCATTTTGGCTAAAAAAATGTTTTGTGAAATTATGGAACAATAAGATATTGTGATAATATTTTGTTTATGTAAACATCAAGAAAATATTGTGAAGTTTGTGCTTGGCACATAATACCAGCCAATTTTGCCACATGAGAGTCGCAATAAGCGATTTTGTCATTTATCTCACCCTCTCTTCGCTCTTCACTCTTCGCGAAGAGGCGATCAGAAAATCGCTCATTGTGACTCTGTCAAAGCTAAATTTTCAGGTTTTATGTGTCAAACACAAACTTTACAATCTTTTACAAATCAATACAAAATATCATCATAATCTCTTATTAGTCCATAATTTCATAAAACATTTTTTTAGTCAAAATGAATGGAAGGCACCCTGATTGTAGGTATCCGAAATTTTTGTGTCCCGTACTCAGCAGGTGGTGAAGGTGGCATTTGCCACCAAAACATCCTGAGGGATGGACAATTTGCTTGGATTTAAAAAAAAAGATATGTTTGACTCAATGGCGAGATCGAAAATAAATTCTGGCAACCATGACGAATTGGTTTGAAAATCGTCTAACCGATTATACAGGAATGAAACTCACATGAGGCTAGTTACTCTTGCCCAGTGAGATTAGGTAGTCCTAACCTTGAATTACTACAGAATTCCTAGAGCTTCATTGCAATTCCCATATTTTGAATAAGAAAACAATTAGGAAGGTTCAACGACTTTCTAGGAAAATCTGCGAACTATAGGGAACTGTAGTGAATTTTAGGAAAGCTCGGCAAACTATAAATAAGTTCCTCCAAAGAAGCAGAGAAATTCAACATCTTTCAGAGAAGTTCATTGAACTTCAGGAAAGACTTCATGAAAATAATTCTTCAAACTTTAAAGGTGTGCTTCGCTCTCCAGATCTGCCAACTTCAGGGACATTTTGTGAGCTTTAGGGGAGTTCAATGCCCTCCTGGTAAGTTCTACGAACTTCAAGAGAGTTCTGTGAACTATAACAACATTATATGAATTTCAATGATGTTCTGCAAACAGTTCTTTAAACGTGAGGAAATTTTTGCAACCTTTAAGATGGTCTTTGAACCACAGGAAAATTTAATAACATTAGGAAAGTACTATGAATTTTGAAAAACGTCTGAGAATTTCTAGAAAAAAAAAACAAGAACATCAAAGAACATCATGAAAGTTAGAAGAATTTCATCTAAGTTCAACGAAATCAAGGACAAACATATGAACAGGGATTTGAATTTGAATGTATAATATAAGCTGTCTCATCGGGTCGTTTGGTGGAACAACTACCACTCCATGTCTTAGAAAACAGGTATAATATATAATATAAATGAGAGTTTGCCACCTAAAAAAAATCGTGAGTACGGCTCACGCATGTTACATTGCCGTTTACCGGTATAAAAAAGGGAGCAGTTTATGAAAATTGAGCTTCTTAAATATCCAGAAGACCAAACTCGACAGTCAAAGTTGTGCGGGTGTGTAGATGTTTGTAAGAAAAAAACCCCACAGAAAAACAAAAAAAAAAATCATAAAAAATTTCAAATTATGTCGGACGCACGTTTCAGAATTCAGACTTCAGAATCTCTCCAAATTGGCAGATGAAAGTAAGCATCACTTTGTTGCCAAAAGCATTAGATAGTTAGCAGGCAAAAAACTAGTCTAGGTCAGTTTTTCAAACGTCGCAGGAAGACCAATGCGTTTAAATTTGAAACAGTCAGGAAAAAAATCTAAGATTTCTCACGAAGATTTACTCATCTTTAAGAAAGATCTTAATCTGAGTGTTAATAAGGTCAGTATGTAACAGTTATCTTTATAACTTTATATTTTACATGACTTTTAACTATACTTTTGTTATATTACAGACGCTAAAATTGGCTAAATTTATGAGACATACCGGCCGTCAAACTATCCAGCCCGGCCTCAAATCAGCTATGAGGAAAGACAACGCGGGCAAGAATGATCCCAATAACGCAATTTGGCGGCTGCAGCAAATGCGACTCAGCATACGCAATTTGGATTCGCTGGTCACCATTGTAGGTGCTTGATAAACGCCATTGCCTGATAATCGTGCAGTTTTTGACGGATGAAATTTTAATCATCAGCCAAAGAAAAACAACACATCGCTGATTTTTCGATATGTTGTGTAAAAAAGCCTAAATGTTAAAGGAAAAATATAAAAACACATTGCACCCTCTATCTACAAACCATGAAAACCATAATAAACGAATACAATCAACGTTTTCAAATATAAAATCCCAATTTTTTAACATCATTATATTGCATCATTACAAGTACTTTTAAATACCTTTCATTTGATATTTTGATCTTTAAAATTGGCCAAGCTATAATTTAAAAAAAAAAAAAAAAAAAAAAATAAACCGTTTTTTGGACTACCCTAACGTTGAAATAGTCACCCTCCTAATGACAAAAAAAAAAATTACGATAAAGATCAAAACTACCATTTCCTACCAAAATCTGAAAACCCCTATATCTTTTTGCAATGGAATGGTTCAATAATAGTAAATTTAGAGACTAAACCATTGTTTAATTATTTTATTAATTAAACATTCTGAGATCATGACATTGTTACAATATCTGACGGTACCGAATAGGGAATCTTACTGTATCATTGAAACTCAGTGTTTTGACAACTTTAATCCCCTTTTGAATCATTTTCAGCTGAATTTGTTTCTATCCGTAACAGTTTTGTATCATCAATAGTCCGTATACGCCTTTGTTAACAGCTAAGTAAACTTCAAAACACTTTTTCTCAAAAAACCCAAGATGAAATATTTTAAAATCTTCGCAGATTTGATTGTTAGGATCAATACTAACTTCCTGTGAAGATAAAACTGAGATACATGAATGTTGCAAAAAAAAGTGCCTTCAGACATAGCGTGCGTCGTTTGTTTTAAATAATCTGGTAAAATATCCTTGCAATGCAAAAACAGATTGCTCCACCCAGATAGTGGGTCAGCTCAAGGTCTCCCCTATTTACGCCAATGATGACGCATTGTTCAAAGAAAAATTGAGAAACAGGATATTTTTATCCAGGCCAACATTAGAGCCATTTCTCCCAAGTCAGCAATGTCAGTTGCCGATTTTCGAGTCCGACCCATATCAGTTTTTAAATTTAAACTCCTCATGGGCTACTTGTATGAATTTTCAAAAAATCATGCTGATGACGTGTGCTTGAGCTCCATTAGGTCAATAATAAGCCAGAACCGCATGCAGATTTCATACCCTTTGCGTTAGGCTTCAAACAGTTGTGAAACAATCGTACATAGATGCACACTGTAAGTACTGATACAAAGGCTATTCATCCAACGGATTACATCACCAATGACGACAGCTTTCCCAACAGCCAATGTGGGTCAGCATAATGTTTTGAGATCGTAACATACCAACATCGGAAAAAAGGGGGTTTGTTGTTTTTGGATCATTTTTTCTCTCACACGCACATTCTCAAACGCTCAACGGCCACAGGTGTTTGATGTGCGAAGCTTTGTTGGGAATGCAATTTTCTCGTAACCCACACCCCTCCCCCTCAATTCTAATGTATGGGTGATACCAGCCGCGCCAAACTTTGCGTTTTACACCTTTCCGTGAACAGGTAAGTCCGGTGAAACAATGACGTCGCCACTTGAGTTGGGCAAACATGTTTTGGGTATGTGTGTGAGTGCAGTTGGGGGATAGGGATGTTCACGTGTCTCGTTAGTTGAAAAAAAAATCTAATTTTCTGAAGATTAGGAAACTTATGTAGAATTGTTAAATGAAGGGAAAACGTTATAGCAATAAGAAGCTTGATCAATATCTTGCAATCACCTAAAGCCGGTCACACTGTTTGGACCATGCAGCAGACTGAACTCTCCGGAGCTGTTGATACCCGGTTTGACCAGTTCTCCGGTATCAAAGTGTTGGAGAACGACGATAGAGAAGCATGAGAGTGAGAAGCCCCATCGCATCGCCACAACTATACTCATACCATCCACACTGAAACTGAAGCCCACAAGCTCTCCGCTCCAACTGGCCGCCGCTGTTGTTGTTTCAAACGGAAAGGTGATACACAGCTAAAGGTATAAGGTATCCCCACACTAATACGACGACCGTGCACCGAAACCCACTGCTCGGTGCTGGACTTTCGGTTGAGGCAACCAGCTAACGTGATGTTAGTTTCATCATTACAACTTCGCGGACCGCACCTAGTTCTGGACCGAGCAAGAGCTCAGAGTCCCGATCCGAATAGACCAAAATTCGTTTTATCAAATAGATCAACTCGTGAAAGTGGTGCATTTCGGGCGTAGCACGTGCCGTGAGTGATTGAAAGCAGTTTTCCTCGCGGGAAAGTTGCATAAATGTGGTGAAAAGCGACGTCGAAAGTGCCCCAACAAATTCGAATCTTCCGACGCGTGAAGAAGCATAATTTTCTTCGACTTTGGCTGCGGGTTAGTGCTTTTACTGTTCTTTCTTTCTTTCTTCTTGTGGCAGGCCGCAACCAACCAGCACAGCAGTGTCAGTTGTGGTCGGTGGTGGTCCAAAGCCAGTATAACCAGAAGAAGTTATAAGTACAGAAAAAAAAAAAACGTAGTGTTGGAATGCTGTGTCGATTGTGAAACCTAGTTTTGTATGCTTCTGAGGGTTTTGGTGCATCAAATGAATGGAGCTTGATTTGCCACAATGAGTGTGTGGTAATGTTTGGGAACCTCACATTCAAGCCATTATTACGGTATGTAACAACAATAACAACATAAGCACTGTATCTTCTAGGAAATGTGTGTCTTATCGGTGAAGATAAAGATAAGCGTGGAGTGGTTGGTTGAAAAAGTGAAAATTGTTTACATTTTTTTCTTTTTGAATTGGACATATTTGAGAGTGAATCTGTAGGAAAACAAAAACAGCGAGACGCATAAGAAAATTCCCCACCAGCATCAGGGTGTGGATTCATTAACACGTACGTATGTGTAGTTGAGCTTCAATTGCACAAACTGCGGCCAAAGATACTGAAAGGTTTCTCTCGTCTTACTTACCGACTGGATGGCGTCAGAATGTCGTCGTTGTCGTCGTCGTCTCCACAGCAGTGGATGGTTTTGCTGATTCTTTGTTCGTCGATAGTGCTAGCGGAGATTCGGAGTTGTTGACCTTGGGGGCGCCAGCCAGTCAGTTGGTGGGTACAGCAGTTGGTCATATATAGTAGTGAGTCACCACACACCATCCCTTGTTGTCCCTCGTGCATAGGCAATAGGGATGGGCGGGAAAGGTGGTGTGGGGCGATTGGGTTTAGAGCGTGAGGTTGAGCGCAGTGGGTTATTATTACAAGATATGTATGGCTAGCCCAGCTGTGAAGCTGTGGAATGTGGGTTAAATTCACGAGAGAACCATTCGCTTGAGGCATGCAGTTTGTTGGCTATGTTGCGAATTGATTTATATCCATAGCTATATTTAGCATGGCATGGGAAGGACATCATATTGCAGTTGATTTCGGCTATATAAATTACAGATTGTTTCAATGACTTTTGCCTTATTGTTGTGGGCAACGCCTCGAAATTAGCGATGTGGTTTGCTGGAACATTCAACTCCATTCTGTTATGGAAAATTGATCATTCTTGCGAAATGAAAAGTAACGCATTATTTCAGGGCTGTGGATTAGACCGATTCAAAATTTGAAATTTTCACTCCACATTTCTCAAACGGTTCCAAATCGGGTCCTGATTAGTTTTCCAAACTTTTAACTCAATTGGCAAGAAACTAAGTTTGCACAAGCCATTTGAAGTTTATATGGACAGTACTATGGAAAACCAAAATTTTTGTTCATTGTCTTCTAGTCTTTTTCCATATTGCACTGTTAAATAGTTCTATTACTATTTTTATGGAAAATTTTCTCAGCTATAACTTTGCAGAAGATTGTTTTTCAACCAAACGTCAACTATTTAATATTAATTGTTTAAGAGATTGATAATCTTATAGCATGATCAAGCAGCTATTTTGTGTGCAACACTGTATTCTGCAGTGTGACATAGCTAGTAGCCATGATTTATGTGCTCTATCCTCCGAGCCAGAAATACCAATGTTGCCTGCTGAACAATTGATTGAGCATAATCATAAGAAATCATCAGTGACTTGAATCATTAATAACTTTTGTTCCTTACATTTTATCGAAAAGTAATCTTCAACACAGTTGTAGCTGAAAAAATTCCCTACGAAAAAAGCTATCAATTTTTAAAGCATGGTGAATTGTTAGATAGATATGCGCATGAGCATGAGTATGATTGACCGCCCACGGTTGCTACTCTGTTATTACCAGATCAGCTGTACTTACACAGAGAACCAATAGACGATGCTTGGGACTAGCAATCATTCTCAATGTGTAAAAACTGGTGATCTCAAACTAGGCAATTCCAGCGCCGGCCGCGCTCGAAGGTCAAGAAAAGAATGGGTAGGAATGTGTAGACTTGACACTCGCTTTGATGGAAGCCAAGAAATCCTCTACACTTCCACGAGAAATCACTGGGATGTTGGATAAGGGTTTGCAGCAGGGTTCGTTTTGGTATACTTTTTTCGACCCATCGTAGGTATCTTAAAACACAAACGTCAAAATTCCGGATCCATCTCGTCGATATATAATTAATAAAATATAACAAAATGCAAACAACCTCGATCTTAGTCACTCAATTTCCTTAAACTCAAGCTATGTATGCATATTTTAATTGTATGGTATGATTGAACTCAACTTTACCTATTTAATGAATCCACAATTTATGTTAAAAATCAATTTGCTAAATAATCTAGGTTATTTACAAGGCATACAAGAGTTATAAAAAACAAGTATCAATGAATGATTCTTGAAATAGCAAAACTTTGCAAAGGTAAAACAATTTAAAAACATTGGCCTAATGTATGATGATATTCAATTTATTCTCTGTGTTATTCATATTCTGAAAACCATAGATCATATTGTATTATAATAAAATAAAATGTAAATAACAATGATCTACAGGATCAACTATTTTCTGTAAATGAAAATGATAGTTATAATAATATAATGAGATTTTAAATATGTGAAATAAAAATAATTTACTTAATGAATGTTATTAAGTATTACAAAATACAAATAAGCTCGATTTTAGTCAACCTCTGTACATTTAACTGATTTCAACTTTTCAACTTCAACTTTGATTAAAACAAACACTTTATTATGCACCATGGAATGGTTTAACGCAATGTGGGTGAATTTTTAGATATATACATATGAACAAAAAATTATAAACTTCAACAGGTTTGTGCCATGTCAGTTTCTTACTAAATGAGTTCAAATTTTGGGAGACTAATCAGGTCCCAATGTGGAACCGTTTGATCAAATTTTGCATCAGTCTACTGTGGATTCAGAGTCGAAATCGGACACATTTTTACGGATTTGTTGCGGATTTGAGTTTTCAGTCGTGAAAATCGCGAAGGGACTGACGTGCTGTCACAGAAAAGCGGAATAATTGTTGTGGTGCGAATTGTTTTTGGTATTTTTGGGTTTTTTTTTGAAAAATCACGATTTTATTTTCATCGTGTATTATGATGTACAGAGCAGTGATGCCAACATTCCAGTATAAACTGGAATCCTCCAGTTTGTTTGGATGCATCCAGTCGAACAGTTAAAGTTTGAAATCTTCAAGGTCTTTAGATACCATCCAATTTTATCCAGTTTTCCATTACTAAAAGCAAAATAATTTTGAAGTACGATTACCAGCACAAAATGATTAAGATGCTCACACTTTAAACGTTTATACTGGAATTGAAATCTGGAAATGAAGTGTTTAATTAAAATGAAACCTTTTAAATTTGTCAAACCTCTTAACGGAATCCCTTTATGAAGAGCTTTGAGTGTGTTGGTTTATTTCCTTTTAATTCTGTTATAATTGTTTATCTTTTGACATATACGCGTATTTCGTCTAAATTGCAGACTTCATCAGTGCCAAGTATTCAAGCTCTTCATAAAATGCAATATTGCAATTGAAATCTGCAATATGCGTGGCATTTCTTCGATCAAACTCGCTATACGACAACGGAACAGGCGTATCACAGCATCGACACTAATTTTGCATGTTTGGTATCATGACAGTTGACATCATTTTATGTCAAAGTTAACCTAACTGATGTTAATGGTGTATCTCTGTTGATTATCTACCAATATTATTTGAAGTTATCGGGGCTTCTTATACCTTCATCATCTTCTGTTGTGAATTTATTTAATGCCATTGAAGTAGAAGTTTAGCTGATTCTTTTGCAGGATATCTACTTATTTTGCTAAATAATATTTCCTGTGTTTTGCAGATTTCTTCAGAACTTTTCGAATAATTTCCATGTTTATAAGAAAGCTGTTTTCTAATTGCGATGATAAATTTTAAGGCGTGATAATCAGTTTTACAATCCAAACCATTAACAGTTGAAGTTTAACATTAACTTAAGTCTAAGATCTCATAAGATATCAAAGCCTTATAGTTTCAAACTACAAGACCAAAATCTAGAAACATTTCAAAGTGCCAAAATCCCAGAATTAGAAGAATGAAGTCTTTGTAGCCATTTGTAATTTCAAATTCGCAATCATATAATGTTCAAAGCATGATATCTTAAAAAAATCTAAGCTTCAGAATGTCCAATCCATGAAGCCAGAGGTGTAGCGTGGCTGGGGGTTCGTTGTTGATAACTACATTATTCAATTTGATTTGCCCGCACCCCTTGTACGCTACGCTGCTACTTGAATCTTGATCCTCATATACAGGATCTCATTTTTTTTATGGAGAAATTAAGTTCTCTCATAAATTCCTCCATAATACCAAGCGGTGGTAATTAACGATTTTAAATTGGCTCACTACTTGACTAGCCTATTGATCCCAAGCACATCAATATGCGTACCCCATTCTAGTTGAAACTCTAGTACTATATTACGTTTGTTTTGATTTGCTATGGAAGTTTGGCAGATAAAATGAGGGGTTCGTGGATTTTCCTATGTTTCGAGAGGTGCATCGATTAGCTTGGGACCGAAGATAGTACCAGAGCTGAGCCAAAAAGATGAGCATTTTTCTTCGGGACCTTCTGGTCTTAGAGTTACCTCTATGATAATACCACAGGTTGGAAACTAACGATTTTGAATTGGCTCACTACTTGACTAGCCTATTGGTCCCAAGCAAATCGATTAACGTACTCCATTCTAGTCGAAATTCTAGTACTACACTACAGTGATGGAAAAGTTCGCGAAAACTCACTATGACTCGCGAACTTTTCTCTTGGTGAACTTCGTGAAATATCGCGAACTTTTCCAACACTGCTACACTATGTTTGTTTTGATTCGCTATGAAAGTTTGACAGATAAAATGAGGGGTTCGTAGATTTTCCTATGTTTCGAGGGGTGCATCGATTAGCTTGGGACCGAAGATAGTACCAGAGCTGAACCAAAAAGTTGAGCACGTTTTTTTCGGGACCTTCTGGTCTTAGAGTTTCCTCTATGATAATACTCTTGACAATGTTCACTCTGCAATGATCTTAATATTATTAATAATTCTAGCAATTCTCCGAAAAACACAAAAATTACTTGGACTTCTCCTCAGCATGTACTTCTCCAGAATTTACCATGGAATTACCATAGGTATTCCTTTTAAGTTCTGCTCAAAATTCCCATTGACTTTTTGAAATTTTCCTCATAATTTCCTTGGAACTCTCTTTTGAGTTTTCTAAAACATA